ACGGTAAGGGCCAGAGGAGGCTGGGGGCCTGGCCCTGGCCCCCCCGCGCTGCCGGCATGCACCTGTGGAGCACGCGCGCCAAGCATGCGGGGGGCGGGCGGGGAATGCGGCCGGCTGCACCCTCAGAAGGAGGTGACCCACCAGAGTGGACGGAGTGGAGGCTGCGCAGGAGACACTGACCACGTCAGGGCTGAGGTGGGCACGTGCTGTCCCTGGGGATCCTTGGTCTTGCACCGCGGGGGGCACAGAGAGAGAGCGATAGAGAGAGAGGCATTGGCCGTAGGGGATCCCAGCCTGGCACCATGGGGGTTGGACTGAGTGTGTGGAAGCTTCTCCTGGCATTGCAGGGGGACAGGGACTGATGAACACTGTAGGTGATCTCAGCCTGGTAACGTAAAGGGAGAAGTGTTAGAGTGTCTATCCTGAGAAGGAACAGAGCTGCTTTCTTGGTACTGTGGAAGCAAGAGAACAGACTTCTCTTGGTCATATGGGACTCCTGAGCTTGGAGCAGGGAGCCTGGACCTCCAGACCCCTTCCCAACCCATTTTCAGGTGGCCCGCATGCCAAGCTGGCCAGGCATTCGTAAGCTCTTGCTCCTCAGTCCTAGTCACTCTCTGAAATCTGCTTGACTGCCTGTCTTCTCTAACTTCTAGCTGGACACAGGAGCTGGGCAGAGCTCTCTTTGTCCAGACAGAACAGCATCTGGAGGCAACATCATCCCCTTCCCTGCTCTCCTGAGTGGCTGTGAGATTTGATCACAGCATCAGGCCCTGGCAGTCTGCCGTGCCTGCCTGCTCACTGCCTCCCATTTGTGCTCTTCCTCCTCAACAGTATCCACACTGGGGACCGACCCTACAAATGTGCTCACCCTGGGTGTGAAAAGGCTTTCACCCAGCTTTCCAACCTGCAGGTAAGGGGCTGAGCTTGTCCTGCTCACCAGTGGGGGTGGCAAGGGCGGCTGTCAAGTGGGAGGAGAGGCTACTTGCCTGTGGTGGAGGAGATGGAGAAATTGGGGCAGCTGGGAGGAGAGTGAAAGAATACAGAGAAGCTGTTGAAGCCCTGGGCAGGGGAGAAATTCCTGGCTTTTGTGGCACTAGTGACCCAAAGAAGCCACATGAACAGTCGCATCCTGTAAAATTGTAAAGTTGTCTTGAAAGCACTGAGGCCTTGGTAAAGTTCCTCCCTCTCGTGCAGAATTTTCTAACTTAGTTGGGGCAAGACTTTTGCTAAATGTCACACAGACCAAAATCTGGGTATCTGACTGTTTGTTTGTTTGTTTTACAATGAAATGGAGGGCATAAGAGTAGGGATTTAGGGAAGCAGAGGTGGTGTGTCCTGTTGCAGTATCCTGGAGGAGGGGAACTGTAGGGTGTGCCAAATGGCAAAGACCTGTAAATGCCTGCAAGCAGTTAAAGCAGATCCTGCCCTGAAGGGCAGTGACAGAAGCAGGGAGCAAATGCATAGCGAGACAGAACAGGAGAGGAACGGAAAAGACTGAGAAAGAGTTGCGTGGAGACTGAGAAGACGGGGGTTGTGGAGAGTTAGGAGACTGCTCTTCAAATGCCTAGTATGCCTGAGAAAAAAGGGCATCTGTGGGGAAGATGTGGTGGGCTGGAAGGAGAAGCTCTGTCCCCTATGCTAGGAGCCAGGCGTACCGCCTTCAGCAGGCGGGGACCTAGGGAGCTTGGGCCCTGGCTGGAAGGGGGTGTCAGAGGTAAAGCCTTCTCCAGTACTAATAGTCGCTTCCTTCCCTGCGCTTGCTTTCTTTGTCCTCCACCCTGCTGCCACCCCCCAGTCCCACAGACGGCAGCACAACAAAGACAAACCTTTCAAGTGCCACAACTGCCACCGTGCATACACGGATGCTGCCTCGTTGGAGGTACATCTGGCTACGCACACGGTGAAACACGCCAAGGTCTACACCTGCTCCATCTGCAGCCGGGCCTACACCTCGGTGAGTGTTTGCTGCCCTGGAGGGTAGCAGAAGTGGACACACTTCCCAGGGAGTAGCTTCTCCAGATCCAATGGGAGCAGCCCCCTGAGCTGTCATGTCCCTCCCCGTTGGCTTTGGCTTTTGTGAATGTCGTCCCCTCCTCTCACACCATTCTTCCCATTGCAGGAGACATACCTGATGAAGCACATGCGGAAACACAACATCCCTGACCCACAGCAGCAAGTGGTTCAGGCGCAAGCCCAGGCCTCTCAGCAGCAGCAGCACTTCCAGCCACAGGGCGGGGGGGCAGCAGGAGGCCCTTCTGGAGACACTAACCAACCCAACCCTCCCCCTCAGTGCTCCTTTGACCTGACTCCTTACAAGACTTCAGAGCATCACAAGGACATCTGCCTCACTGTCAGCACCAGCGCCATCCAAGTGGAGCACCTCTCCAGCTCCTAGAGAGACCTCAACCCAGGGAGCAGAAAGCCTCTTGTGCATAGCCTGCGCCCAGGGGCACCGCTTGTGCAGCGGCCCTCCTTGTGCAACAGTCTCCGGCCTCTCCTCCTGCAACAGCCTCTTCTGGCCGTGTAACCCTGTTCATGGCAGCCCCTTGAACCAACAGCCTGTCTCAAGGGGGTGCTCCTTCTGTGCAACAGCCTGCCTGGTAGGAGGATGCTTCCTTGTGCAAGAGCCCCTTTCCTGTGCTGGGATCACTTCCTCATGCAAGAGCCCCTCCTTTCAAACCCAAAGAAAGGCCCCCGTTTTGCCTTCTCTCTCACTGTAGGATGCGTATGAAGGGAGGGTGTGTGTTGAGACATGCATGGGGGATGGGATGGAGAGACGGTCCTTGTACGTACAGGGGCTCGGACACATGTTTTCAGCAGGCCACAGAAGAATGTGGCAGGGTTCACAGCTGGATGGGATTCTTTGAGGATTTCCTTGAGTGTCTAAGAGAGAAATATCCATTCCTGTCCCTCCTGCTTGTGAAAGGGAGGAGGGATCACTCGTCCTGCCCCAAGGACTGGATGGGAGAAACCTTCTCCCCAGTGGAAGGTGAGACCAGTGTGGGGGGAGAGGTGAGGCATGTTCTCTGGGCCGGACAGGTGCCTACACTGCCCGAGGGCTGTGGAGTATTGCACTCTTTCTCCTCCTCTGGTGGAGAGCAATAGAGAGGAGTCTGTCTGAACTGGCTGCTGCCTCTCTCTCCCAGCTGTCTGAGCAGTACGATGGCCAAGGCCCCGTAGGAATGTGGGTTCCTGCTCATTGCTCTTCCTGCCTGTTGTGGATGATGTCCTAGCAGCTTGTACTCCTCCTCCTCTCCCTCCTGCTTCTCCCCCACCTCCTCAGAAAAGCCTGCAGGCATCAACAACAAACCAAAAAGCAACTGGAGGGAGGGTAAGAGACTGCCAAAATAATCATCACCCTTCTCTCTACTCCCTTTCCTGAAAGGCGGAACAACAGCAGTTCTGACTCTCACATGCTTGTCCTGCCCCCAGTTTCCCAAAGGGAAGGAGGAGAAGGAATAGACCGGTCTTTTCAAGGAGCCAGCAGGAGGCAGGGAAAGGCTAGCTTCTCCTGCTCGCGTCCCGTCAGAGTGCTCTCCCAGGCGCCCTCTTGCCAAGACGGGCTGGACTCACATGGCAGTGGTGGCCTCTTCTGGACCCTGGTCATGGGAGAGAATCCCCAAAAGGTGGACAGTGGAGAGAAGGGGATGAAGATCCCCACAGAGAGACCAATCTAATGAGAAGGGGGAGCCAACAAGAATAAACTGAAGGCCCCTTGAATTTATAT